TCGTGTTTTTATTTAGCTTCCCCTTAAATGCATGTATGCTATTCGCTTCAACTACTCCTTATAGTAGTTGTTCCACATTCCCACCACTCTCTGTGTAAAGAAGTTTCTTCTGACTTCCCTGTTTGATTTATTGGTGACTATTTTATATTGATGGCCACTGGTTTTGGTCTCCCCCACAAGTGTAAACATCTTCTCTATGTCTACCCTATCAAAACCTTTCATAATTTTAAAGACTTCTACTAGGTCACCCCTCACCTTTCTCTTTTCAAGAGAAAAGAGTCCAAGCATGTCAGCTTTTCCTGATAGGTATAACCTCGCAGTTCCGGTGAAAATGATTCCTACTGGTTAGAGGATTGATAAGAAGCATAAACTTGGGACTATCACGAAAGTGTTAAAAGTGGAACTATTACGTTTCTTTCACACATAAGGTTACAAGTTTAGCTACAATTACACAGGCACTGCACTTGACCAAAAATTCTGAAATGCTTTGACATGTTTCGATGGGATAAGGCATTATATCAAGTGCAATTTTTTTTATAGTAAGTTATTATTGAAGCTATGTCTATAACAGTATTACAAAGAATATGTATTGGAACAGAAACAATGTAAAAAAGAAGTACTGGGAAAGAGCAGAGAATTGGGATTGGGTGCGTAGCTTCAGTGGAGTAGCTAATCCCTCAAATAAAATTGGTCATGCACTTCATGCCTGTTTGTGGGACATTGAGGTGCACAAATTAGCTGCCGTGTTCACCTACAAAATACAGTCATTGCACTACGGTATATCCTCTGAAATGCTTTGAGACATTCTCCTGAGGTGAAAGGCGCTATATCAAATGTAAAGATTATTATCAGAATGGCCTCCTTCTGTGCTGTAATTCATAGAATTCTGTGACTTCATTGTAAATAGTGGAGCTGCAGCGTAGTTTGATTTAAATTAAAAGAGAAGGACGTGGCAAATGTGAAACATATACATGTAGATACATATGGCCTCAACTTCATGAGAATGTGGAATCTGATGGGCTGATTGCTGCAGAAGGGGACAGGAAAACAAGGAGGTCATTCAGCCATTTTGCTTGGCCACTGCTTTGGTCCGTGCACAGGACCTACTCAGATCACTTTCGTCTCCTTGTCTTGGCGTTGAGCCCCTGTTGAATCATGAATCTGTTCATTTATCTTTTGAACTCTTTAACCAAGTCCGCATTCATTAGATTTGACAGCGGCTTATTTCATAAGTGAACAACACTAAATGTCAAGCAATTGCTTCTTAGATTACGCCTGGCGCAGGCCGCCCTCGGCTTGAGGCAATGTCTTCCCTAGCTAATGCAAAACAAACGTCTCCACATCCACCCTACGGACTCACTTCACATTAAAAGCATAGATCATGTTTCTGCTCACTTCTCTTTCCCAATGATAACAGGCTCTCAGCCTCTCTTCACAGCTCATTCATTTAAGACCTGACACTATTCTTTTTACCTTTCCTTGAACCCGCGAGAAATGGGCCCAAAGCCCTCTCACACATATGGCTCTTGAAACTGAGTGAAGTCCAAGTGCAGAGTCACCAACAGAGTGTTGATGGCACCCTAATGTAGATTTGCCTTCGCAACTGTTGCCCTATAATTTCACTGCTTGGTCAATCAAAACACCCCAGCTTTTCCTAATGCACTTATACTTCTTTTTTCTGTCAGGTGCAATATTGCATTGTTAAAAAAAAGGGAGATCATTATAAATATATTCCAAATGAAAGTACGGTAGAATGCTATTATCTGCACGTCCGTTTATTCACACAGTCGGATGCGGGCTTGTGCGATACGGGAAAAAAAAGTGCAAAGTTGTGTGGCAGGTTGCCCTGGCTATGTGATCTTAGCAACTTTGTACATATGCTCCAACAGGACCTTTTTGGCCAACAACAAAGATAAATCTTTATATTGTATATTGTTTAGGGTTACAGATAAAGATAATGTAAAGATTGAGAAAGAGAGATAGAAAGAAGGGAGAGGAAGAGAAACGTACTCACAGAGAGAGAGACAGAGTCAAAGAGAAAAGATGTGACTTAAAGGAAAAACAGAGGGCAGGAGTCAGATGAAGAGAGGCAAGTGGAGAGAGAGAGAAGACATTGCAGAGTGATACTATAATTAAAATATAATTCCCCTAATTAGAAAATACGATAATTAGAAGAATTTTTTACGTAGCACTATAGGCGATTTGCATTTTGTGTGATGTCCAATTATCCACACTGACCTCTTATCTGCACTGGGGCTGGTTCTAATCAATGCAGATGCTCATCTCTCTACTGTATGCACTCATCATTCAGTAATTGGTAGCCGCCTCAGAGCAGAGGCTGAATGGAAACTGCTTCACTCACTGGCAGTATAGCTCGGTGGGGCAAATATCTCAAGTTATACTTAGTATTTTATTTGAAGGATTATTGGCTAGGACACCAAGAAGAAATTGCCATCTGCATTTAAAATCTAATCCAGAGTTCAGCACCTTCGACAGCGCAGTGCTCCTACCATGTTCCACTGGAGTGTCAACTTTTTACGTTGTTCATGCTATATTTTGTATTGTTCAGACTATTTATGCTGCATGCTTGGACATAGGATACACATTTGAAGTCTATTCCATTTTGGTAGCCCTTTAGGCCACCAAAGTTAGTGTTTGAAAAATAATTTGAGTGAGTTCCTTCTCGTCTTTCCCTCTGCAAGTGGAGTATCGAGGCGAGGAATGCTTTTGCATGGTTCAGGAGCAATGCCACAGCCATTTCCCCCATGGACGCGTTTTGAAAGTGGGTTAAAATAAAAAAAAGAATTTGGATACTCGAGACAGGCCAATTAGCTGATACTTAAAGAAATCAATCACTATTCAGTCAATACTGCACAGCAGAGAAATATTAGCCAGCATGGTGGTCCTGGCAGATGTATGACTAACATAACTAACTCGGATTTGGCAGTGCTTCAGGATGGACTTAGTTTGGTCTCTGGCCTCTCCTTCATGATTCAGCACAACAATGTTCTGCACCAATTAGAATTAGAGGGAAGAAAATACTGTAATTCAAATTGGTTGTTCTACAAGTAAACAGTGGTGAACATGTCCAATGATTTATAATAATAATCCTTGCACTTGAGCTCGTAGCTTAGCACATCTCAAAGCACTTCAATTGTGAAGTGTGGTTACTTGGTATGTTTTACTGGGAAGTGTAATAATTGTCTATTTGTAGACCAACTCAGCAGGCTATTTGCGCATAGCAATGGCTCACAGACAGCCATGAAGTGAATGACCAATTTCATCTGCGAAGTTGGCCAAGACACCGTGAGAAACTCATTTTTTCAAATAGGGCTATGGCATCTCTAACATCCAACTGAACAGACAGATGGGACCTTGGTTTAACATCTCATCCAAAGGACTGTTTGCATCTCTGACAATGCAGAATTTCCCACCCAGCACTGTACTGGAGTGCCAGCCTAGACTGTGAGCTCAAAGTCCCTAATTGGGGTTTGCTCTCAAGCAAAGCTGGGGAATGATTCAAATTATTTTCACCAAGATGATTGTCTGACAAACTGCAGAGTGACCATATTCTTATCAGAATTCATGTTTTGCAGAGGGTTTAGTCATATTATGGCAAGATGAGAACAAGACTGCATTAGTTCACCAGTGAAACTTTAATCATACATTCAAGTCAAGCCACTTCATCTGTATAGGTTGTGCTGCATTCCTGATTTAGTCACGCCTGTTTGGAAGTGCATGATAAGATTGCCATGAAATTGGCAGATAATTCTGTCTTGTTATTTACACACAGTCACTTTGATATGTATGCTCAAATATGAAGGATAAAATATGTTTATTCTAAAAATTTGATGAAAGATACTCTGTATATGTTAAACTTGCCAAAACAATTTTGCATTCCTGCCTCAGCTGATACAGTGAGAACAACTGAAACAACTGGATGTCTTTCAGATGTTCTCGCCAGCAAATCTGAAAGACATCCAGTTGTTTCAGCTGGAGACATGATATACTTTGTAATCAAAATGGCCCAGTAGGCTGGGTGTACAGTCAGTTCCCATTGATAAAGATAATGAGTCAGAAGGTTGTCAGTTCAAGTCCCACATCTGGACTAGGAATCATATAGTCCAAGCTGACACTTCAATCCAGTGTTGGGATGTCTTGCATTGTCAGAGATGTGTCCTTCAAATGACACATTAAACCAAGGTTCGTTCTGCCTGTTCAGGTGGATGTTAAAGATCCCCTAGCACTAATCAGAAAGTGAAGAGAGTTTGTCACAGTGTCCTGACCAACAATCCTCCAGATGGAATTGGTCATTCACTTCACGACTGCTTGTGGGACATTGCTGTCGCAATCGCCCTACCATCGGTGGTCGGACCTTCAGCCTCTCAGCCCCCAGGCTCTGGAACTCTATCCCCCAGTGCCTTCGCCGCCTCCTCCCTCTCCTCCTTCAAGGCCGGTCTCAAAACCTTTCTCTTTGACCGTGCCTTCAGCTCCCCTCTCAACTCTCTTCCCCCTCCTCGCTCCCTCCCTTCCCTCCCCTCACCCTGACCATTTCCCCCCTCCTCGCTCCCTCCCTTCCCTCCCCTCACCCTGACCATTTCCCCCTGCTCGGGTCCTGACCCAACTGTGCAGCGCCTTGGGACGTCCTCCTGACGTGAAAGGCGCTTTATAAATGGAATCTTGTTGTTGTTGTTGTTGTTGCTGTGCGCAATTGGGTTGACTGTAAAGTGTAGTGACTGTGTATTTTGTAGGTGAAGGAAGGCTCACTGGCTAGACTTTAACTACAAATTAGGACATGGAATAATCAATAAAATGTTCCACTATAAGTGGATCGTGCTGTATTTAATTACTAAAAGATACAAATTTCAAATATGAAATCATTTATTGAGCATTTATCCAAGGGAATTCGATAATTGCTGCAGTGCAACCAAGGCTTTCACAATTCAGTAGAAGCAATCATTCACTTCATTCATTAATTAACTTGTTTCTTTCTTACTTACTTGATTGAAGACTTGTTGGTTGTATCTTGAAGGTCACCCGGGTCAAACAGCTGTGATCCCTTTAGTCCAAGTTCTTCGCAACCCCTCAAAAACAAGGCAATGTTGTCCTGTCAGAGGCAAAAGCAAAAGTCTGTGTTACCATAGATTGTACCCAAACCGGTAACTTTGCTCAACTAGGCTGTGCCGATATTGTTATCCATATGAGTTCCCACACATCCTAATACTTTGCTTTACCCCTCTATTTTCTTCTTCCTCATGTACACTGTGATCCCTTCATGTGAATGTCCTGTCACATCCATACAGTGTGACAAACCACAAAAGTGCTTTCAAAATAATTGAGTTGCAATTCAGACTCGGAATAAAGATGGAACTTTTACTGTCTCACAAAAACAGCCCTTTTTCCCCATGGCCGTGCAGTGTAAATACCTCAGCAGCTTTAGGAAATAAAACCCTGCACAGGTTCACATCCTGCACAAGTCAAAGGACAAGAGACAAGCAACATTCCTTTATACTGCAAGGCACCATGATCTTATCAAGGTTAGAAATGAGTACAATAAAAACAATACTGTATTGCAAATGGACCAATTGATATAAATTCTGCTTTCCAAACTGCTTATTCCAAAATTTTGCTTCCTAACCACAAGCAAAATAGTTGAAAAGGTTGGTCGTGGAATTTATTAGATTAGCTTTGAATTGAGGGGAAAATACAAGTCCAGCTGGCACGTGAGCCATTTACACCTATTGAAACTACAAAGAATTGGCATAATGTACTTTCTGCGGAACACTGAAATATTTGTGGGTAAAGTGTATGGGGCAGTGAAATGTGCCACATCAACATGTTTGTGTAAAGCAGACAGCCCCACAAGAAGCTTGGTGTAAAAGTGATGGCTCATGTATAAACAGCTGCCCAAATCCTAAAAGGAGGTTTGTACGTATTTACTCCTACCTCCCTACCTCTGACCTGCTTCCACCTCACTCCACTACTATCCTCTTTGCTCAGCTGCCTCTAGTCTTCTACAAGTCCATTATCCCTCCACTCCACCACGAGCAGTTGTGTTTTCAACCACTGCACCCCAAGACAAGACTTCGGAACTCTGTCTCAATTCTTCTGCCCCTTGTCTATCTTCTAATCGCCCACGGTCACCTCCCTCTCTCCCTGGCTCAGCATCAAACTCTGTCACTGTTTGATCTGTTTGATCTCCTGTCAAACGCTAGGAGATGCTTCCTGCGCAAAAGGCGCTATATAAATGTAAATTGTTGTTGTTGTGCTCCTCAATAGTTCAGCAGCATTTTACAGTAGGATATTTTTGTGGGAACTATATATTTCATCAGTGAAAACAGATTATGTTATGCATATATTGTAAATATATTATTATTATATAAATATGTCCAGAGAGAAAGATTTATACGTTACTCAGTAATTGCACTACTGGCACCAAACAAATGACATATTGGTATGATTCACAACTGAACCTTTTTATATAAGAACTGTAGGACACACAGTGGCACCCAGTGCAATATGTCTAAACATGCATAGTAAGGAATGAGTTGCTGAACAAATGCAGTAAGATGCGTGGCATGGCCTTGGCTCCTAACGTTCTGCACCTTTCTCGTTGTAGTGCAAAATCTAGGTATCTTTAATGAACAGATCTATTAGTTCAGACTTTAAATAAGAACAGTGAAAGTATCTTGACTTCGATCGCCAGCTTTAATGCTGGGGTGGGAGGATAGGTCCCATATGCAACTGACTGAAGAGCACATGAGAAGTCAATGGCAGCTAACCAATAGCGATACTTAGCAAAGCACATGGTCTTTTAGTTATATAATTTACAACATTTTCAGCATGCTTAGTTCTGTATAGTCCAATAAAACAAAGTTGTCAGTGCTTTGTTGTGTAAATGATGTCCTGATACGAAAGGCACAATACAAAATGTAAGGATTATTTTTTCTTTAAAAATTATTTTCCCCCACTCTCTGCAACTTCTTCCCAAAGTCTCTCCGACTCCCTCCCTCCCTCACCTCTTTCAAAGTTCGTCCCAAGACTGATCTCTCTGACAGCGCTTTTAGTCATCTTTGCCCTCCCCACCCCCTGTGAACACCAAGCCAGGATTGTTAAGTGCCATGGGACATCCTCCTGATGTTTGATGTGAAAGACACTATATAAATGTAAATTTGTATTGTATTGCATTGTGTAATTGTGATAACACATCGGTGAGACTGTGATTTAATATTCAGAAATCATACGTATTGAATCCTGCATATTCCTCGACACCAACTCAAGTGTGAGCCTGTTCAGTTAGTAGCACTCATGCCTCTGAGTCAGAGGCTTGTGGATTCATATCATGTACAAATCCTCACTATATCACTTGCATTCCAAGGTTACATGTGAAGTTTTGTAAAATCCAGTTTTAACATTTAATCCCATTTAAACCTTTCTTGCAGCACCTGCTTCCTTATTAATTTTGCTAGACTTGGCCTTATGGACCAGTTACATCTATAGTAGTGTCACAAACATAATTCAGGTTAAGAGGAGCAGTGGGAGCCCACATTGAACGGATGAGATAGGCCCTTACTGCTTGTTTTTCCACAACTAGCCACTGAATCCTCAAATCCTTCAGTGAGTCAGTCAGTCATTCACCTACAAAATACACAGTCGCTACATTTCATGATAAATCTTGTGAAGCTCTTTGGGACATCCTCCAGAAATGTAAAATATATGAAATGTAAAATAAAATATATATTTATATCTGACCAAAACATTATTATTATTACACATGGACGGTGAGTGATCAATCTTCTAAATTTCCGTTCATTGTCACTAACTAGATCTCAAAGGAACAATATGCAAAAGCATATTAATTTTAATCTAGAGCAGACTTGTGTTGACCTCGCCATAACCTCCAGCTTGAAAATTCCATCAGGTTTTGGCACCCAAGGATTTACAATGGCCCCATTCATGCATCGCTGCACAGGACTTGGTGTGAAACAGAATAACACAACTGTACTAACTCCAAGTACTGCTGCCCTCAGTAAAAATTGGTTGATTCACCCTTTACACCAATTAGTCAGATGTCTGTACTCAATCTTTGTCTCGATCACAGCAAAGATCGATGGACAAAAATCCAATCTATCTCTGAATCTCAATTACCCAATATATTATTTATTTGTCAAAATGTTGTTCTCTCAAATTAAAATAAAAAAAAATCTCTCCTGCCTAAAATAGAAACACCCTATTTCTGATAATTCTGATATCAAACAATTATATATTTAAAATAGAGTAAAACTTGCATAAGTCTTATCTTGCTAAATTGTGTAATCGCCAAGTCGCACACTCGCCCGAGTCCCGTTCAGTTTCCTGTCAAAAGCACTTAGTTTTCTTTAAAATGGATTTTATACTACTTATACAGTTTGCCTGCACTTGGACTTCACGTAATCATATTAAATGTTATGGTCCCGACTGATAAAAAGTTTGTGAGTTTTACTGTATATAATCTTTTCAAATATATTTTCACAAAAAAAAGTGAGATTGCAAGAAAGCATGTGCTTGAATTTTGCTTTTGTTTTACACATTGATATATTGTATCTCAAAGTGTTTTGCAGGAGTTTCATCCAAAACTAATAACTGCTTTTCGTAGGCAAACGTAGCATTGATTTTGTGCAGAGCCATGAAATTAATCACCAATTAGTATAACGGCTTGTAATATACAGATTATACAGAAATATAAAGCTGTTTCTGAGGATTTTACAATGACTTTGCCAGTGGTTCAGTGTATCATGGACCTTTCAGGTAAGTTCATTCTTGAACAACCAAAAACTCCAGCCATCTCTGATATGGAGCTGCCACATTGTCTGCTAAACCAACTAAGATCTAATGCAAAGTGAACACATGCACCATATTATATTCTAAAAATGGTATTGCATTTTGCAAATCAGTGACACAATGATACATGAAGCACCAGTGAAAAAAGCTTTGCCCAAAATGTTTCTGTGATAATCCTTATAATAAGAAACAAAAGCGGCATGAGATAAAATTGAGAAGAATTGCTACAAATCTTTGTGTTGTTGATTATTACAAAGTCAAATTATAGTATATGCATGTACAAAACTGCAGAGAGCTTCATTCCTACATTTTTTGAATACATTTCAACACAACTGGTAATTCTCCAATATTCGTAATTTGGTGCTGTTATCAAAGGGTTAATCCCTATTCGTGTTTAAATCCGTGCCCGGATGTGACTATGGCCAACAGAACAATGTTAACTGCACATTCTTTCAAACTTTCTGTGGTCTGAGGTAAACCACATTCATTGTATATTGATCCCCATCACATAAACACACTACAGCAGAGGGAATCTAATAAGGGATGAAGTGAAAACAAATAAAAAGCAGTTTACTCCATACAAAGCGTACAGAGAAAGTTCTCAACTGAATCATTCCTGCCGGTTGTAATTTTTGTTCCAACTAGGACATTTATTATCAGTGTTTTTGAAAAGCTACTCAGTTTTACAGGCCTTCATATCATCTTTTTGTGTTATATTCATATTTGTACATTGCTGGGAATGCATCAACTAGTGAAATCGGTTTGCTTGAGAACTCTGTTATGTGACTGCTCTAGCCAAGGCAGTTGAAGAGAGATGGATGAGGGGCTAATTTCCTCATCTCTGCTTCACTGGAGGCTCTGATGACCCGCTAACCTCCAGCACTGCAAAGGAGTGTAAACCTAGACTATATGAATTCAAAGTCCAATCTTGATTTCACAACCTTCCACAATCTTCTGATTTAGATACGAGAGTGCTACCAACTAAAATTGTATGGCATTTTTAATCCCAGATTGGCAATTTAGAAAGAAACAATGGAGGGACAGATTTGGCCAAGATTATAGAGTAAGAGCCTTGAGGCAGGCTCCTCGATGACAGCACTGCTTTTTTTCCCCAAGTATTTTTAATGGCTTTAGTGAACAGATTAATTAACCACAAGCGGATTGACCAGTGAGTGGGTAAATAATCCATGTTAAAGCCCCTCATTCTTAGAATTTGAAAAGCAGCTACAAGTGAGTTTTGCTTACAAATGGATGTGACGAACGATTCTGGGATCCTAGATTGTACTG